GTGCATTTCATGATCCTCAAGTATCGATTGAAAGAGCCCATCACAAAGGCAGAAATGCTGAAGATTGTCATCAAAAGGTACAAGAAACGATTTTCTCTGATCTTCAAGAAAGCTTCTAAGTGCTTGGAGGTGATCTCTGGCCTTGACGTGAAGGAAGTGGACCCCACCATCCACTCCTATGTCCTTGTCAACTCACTGGACCTCACCCATGATGAGATGCTTAGTGACAACCAGAGCATGCCTAAAAACGGCCTCCTGTTAATCATCCTGGGTGTGATCTTCATAGAGGGCAACTGTGCCCCTGAGGAAGACATCTGGGATTTCCTGAATACGATGGGAGTGTATGCTGGGAGGGAGCACTTCATTTATGGGGAGCCCAGGAAGCTCATTACCAGAGATTGGGTGCAGGAGAATTACCTGGAGCACCGGCAGGTGCCTAATAGTGATCCTGCACGCTATGAATTCCTGTGGGGTCCAAGGGCCCATGTTGAAACCAGCAAGATGAAAGTTCTGGAATTTTTGGCCAAGATCGAAGGGACTGACCCAATTTCCTTCTCCTGCTGGTATGAAGAGGCTTTAAGAGATGAGGAAGAGAGAGCTCGGCCCAGAATTGGCCCCATGGATAGTCCTACTGCCATGTTCATTGCACAGCGTTGGTCAGCAGCTTCTCCTGCCCCAACTGAAGAATGAACCCAAATCTTCACTCTCTTTGAAAAGGGCAGTCAAAATTCTAAGTAGAAGAGGGTTGGGGTCAGGCTGGGAAAACACAGTGTACAACAACTTTGTGTTCCTGTTCTGTGTGGGTGACTTGAAGGTTTATCTTTTATATATATATATTTTAAATGCTGTTCCTTTTAATAGATTTATTAGCTTTAGAAGCTAAGTTTATGAATGACATTGGCCACACATTTATTACTTTTAGTCAGGTTTAAGAATAAGAGTTTTGATATTTTGTAAAACAAATGGGAGAAATTTCCATCTCCTTTTGTGACCTGGAACAAGATAACATGAAATTGGAATTTCCTTGGAAATATGAAAGAACTCAGCAGAAAATAGAGAAAAAATGTAAAGAGTGGTTAATTTTTGGATTTCCTTAAACATTTTAGCCTATTGTTCTGTAAAATTAAAAGATATGTACCTGGATTTGCTTGGCTTATTCGAGAAAGTTAGGAGAAATCTGAATTCATCTTAATAAATGAAAGATCCTGTTCACTGTACTCATTTATTCACCAAGCATTAATTGGATATTTTCTCTTTGGAAAGCACTGTGTTAATCGTGGAAATACTAGGATAAGCAAGACACATACCCTACCCCTAGAATGGTAGATGCTGGGAGCAGCAGTCATATCAGGAAGATGGTGTGATGTCCTCTATTACCTAAAGAACAAGTGAAAACAAGGAGTGAGGAGGTGGGACTCCAGATGTGAGCAGTCAAGTGGAAATGCCCTGAGCCAAGGCAGTTTGGGGCTTTGGGAAACTGCAATTCCTTCTATGGGAGTTAATCATAAGTTAAGCTGTGGGTGGTGGCAGGGGCCAGACTCAGATGATATCTTGTAAAGGTGAGAGAAAAGCCTGGAATGGAAAACTGCTTAGTAGCTACTTTTGGATCGTGGATAAACCAGAGAGAACTCCCCACCTGGAGCAGGTACAGAAGGTGTCCTGAACTCTTGTCCCAGTGAATGAAACAGGTGTTCTGTACACATATCTGCAATGATTGCTTGAGAATAGGCTGCTACTCCCTTGAAGTATACCGAGAAGCCACTAGGCTGGCACTCTTTTCCATGCCTGAGAGAGCCAGAGTCTGTTCCATTAAAATGACATGAAAGATAGGTTATCTTGAGTGTAATTAAGCCACATGGAAGCAAGGTCTAGGTTTTGGTGGCAGTGAAATGAATGAAAATAGTATTTTGGATGAATGAGCAACTGGAAGGGAAGGAAGAAGTTGGTCTTTGACTTAAATTCTAGAAACTTGGAGTTATATCAGCTGGGGAAGATTAACCCATACCCAGATTAATATATCCTCTAAGAGGAAGAATTTAATGAGTTTTATTTGTGAAGCTGCATTTTTACCTGATTTGATAGTCTGTCTCCTAGTTGAGCTGCATATTTTCTGAGATGTCCTGGATAAGAACAAAATCCCAGAGGAGAGAGCAGTAGGGTCTGGGGACAAAATAACATTAGAAATAACTGCCATTCATTAAGGATCCAGTAAGTGCCAGGCACTGTGCCAGATGCTTTTCTTACTTTACATACTTTCCAGCAGTCCTACAAGACAGGGCTCATCAAACGCATTTTACAGATGAGGAATCTAAGGCTCATAGTGCTTGGTAATTTACCCAAGATTATACTGCTAGTAAGTGACAGGGCTGGGACTAGAACCCTGGTCTGAATTCAACTGGGGCCCACGTTGTTCCCACTTCTAGCCTGAGGCAGGTCTTCTGTCTCTTACTCCATTTCTCTTCTCAGTACTCCATAATGTCTCTCAGGGGACAAAAAGAAGGACCATGTGACAAGATTCTAAAAGCAGGCCTAAAGAAGGAAGGGAACTGAGAATAAAACATAATTTGGGGATTGTCTGAGTTTATTTGTCTAGGGCCCTCTTCTTCTGAGCCCTAGGATACCTTAATAGCTGACTCTGCCCATGTGCTGGTATTTGTCTTCAGTCCTAGCAATTTCCCAAATTATAGCACCCTCCCCCTGATCTTCCCCAGTGTGCCCTCCTGTCTAATGCTGGAACCTGGCCTGCTGACCAACTCTTCACTGTCTCCTCCTCTGAAGGGTGTGCCCTGCTCCCAGTGGACAACCCAGGACCACCTGTTTTCCCCCTAACAGAACATTCCTACTCCCTGCAGAAGTTCCCTGGCTGTCCCATCCGTCATTCTGGAGCCCTGAAAGCAACAGCTCCTTCGACTTAAAAGTTCAATTTGGACAGTGTTGTTTAGACTGATCTATAGTGAGTTGAATGGTGACCCCCCAAAAGATATGTCCAAGTCATAATTTCCAGTATCTGTGTATGTGCCCTTATTTGGAAATACACCTTTGCGGATGTAATTACGTTAGGAATCTTGAGATTATCTTGGATTTAGGGTGCGCCCTAAATACAATGAATAGTGTGCATATAAGAGAAAAGAGAGGGAGATTTGACACACACAGACACACATAAAGGAAGGGGATATGAAGAATGGAGGCAGAGATTGGAGTGATGCGTTTACAAGGCAAAGAATGGTGAGGATTGCTAGCAATCACCAGAAGCTAAGACAGAGCCGTGGATGGAGCTCTCCCTCAAAGTCTCCAGAAGGAACCAACCTGCTGACACCTTTATTTTGGACTAGTGACCTGCAGAACTATGAAAGAGTAAATTTCTATTGTTTTAAACTAGCAAGTTTGTTACAGCAGCCCTGGGAAGCTAATACACGGTCATTCCCCCTAGGTGTATTTAACAAACTCTCAAAGTGTTTTCCTAATGGGCTTGTGAGTAAAGTCTTATTTGGCACACAATCCACTTGTTACTGGGATGTAACTGAAGCAAGATAGATTATTTTTGAAACCACCCTGATATTTGCAGTAGAATTTTAATGGGATGTTTTTTGTTTTTAAATTGGCCACTGAACACATACACAGATGAATGAGCTTACTCGTGTCGTTTAATACCAAAGCCTCCCTCATAAAAGGTAGATAAAGCAAGATAAAGCAAGGAAATCTCTGTGTAAGCAGACATCTGCGGAGGCTGAATTCTTAAAATCCTTGGAGTCCTTCTAGGAGGTGAAGAATGGTTCCTTAGCGGACATGCTAGCTCTGATTAGAAAAGAAAAAACAATCGTTACGGACTACATGTTTGTGTCCCTCCCAAATTCATATGGTGAAACCCTAACCCCCAATGGGGTAGTATTAGGAGGTGGGGCCTTTAGGAAGTAATTAGGTTTCGATGAGGTCATGAGAGTGGAGCTTCCATGATGAGATTAAGTGTCCTTATAAAAAGAGAAAGAGACTAGAGCTCTGTCCTGGCCATGTGGCCACGAAACGAGAAGATGGCTGTCTGCAAACCAGGAAGAAGGTCCTCACCAGACACTGAATCTGCCAGCACCATGATCTTGAACTTTGCAGACCCCAAAACTGTGAGAAATAAGTTTCTGTTATTTAAATCACCCAGTCTATGGTATCTTGTTATAGCAGCCCAAGCTGACTAAAACAACCATCCTTCCATTGCCCCTTGTCTGTGTACCTGCCCCACAAGAAAATCCTAGTTTGCAGTGTGCCAAAAGGCACCTGTGCAAGTGTTCAGAAATGTTCAGTCATGTGGAAGGTAGCAGAGGCTCATAAATTAAGATTTTGACCATGCATCAGAAGGAAAGGGAAAATTCTCAGTCTGCTGAGATTATAGAGGTTATTGCAAAGAGCAGTGCACAAAAGTGCTATTGAGTGAAGAAGGGTGAGTTCTCTTTTCTAAGATTTACAGGATCCTTTGAAAACTAGATGTGGTCCTGTATTTAAAATCACCTGTCACAAAGCAGGCTCATGAAAATGTTGGTGAATTTCAAGGCAAATTTGGTCTTCTTAGAAACTCCTTCAAGAAATGAGGAGGGTTGTTGTCATAACAAAATATAATAGTTGCTTTTTATTGAACACCTACTATGTGACCATTTATGGGAGAGACTACAAGAGCTCATCTACCTCTTGTCTTACTGTCCTTCCCGGGTGGTCCACTTGTAGTTAGGCGGGAGCCAGTATGCCCTTTCCATGCTTCCTCGGCCATTCAGCAGCAAACATGGAGACCCCGTGTTGAGATAGTGGAGCTACAAGACGGAAGCAGCCTGGATTCCTGGGTCACCTGAGAGTGGAGAGTCCCTGCCAGCCCACATGAGAGTTTATGTGAACAACCATAACAAAAACTTTGTTGTGTTAAGCCACTTATATTTCAGGTTTTGTCTATTGCATCAGCTAGAAGTTACTTTAATTGATTAATACACAGCTGCTATTTCTGGTTTTAGGCTTATTTAAATATTTTACTTACAAAGGTAGTAGTTATTATATTCTTGTTGTAAAAAATTCTAAAAATACAAATCAGTCACAATTCTCCCCTTTACAAAGTTCCTACATAATTCAGCCCCATTATCAGAGGTAACCACAATTAACAATCTGCTGTGTATTGCTTTAAAGCTTATTCTAGGCTTTTTCAGATATATGTATCAAAAATGTATTGTAAAATATATTGTAAAAATATATTTTCTTTTAACATACTTGGTAATGATGATATACTAACCTTTCACTTACCTTTGCCGCTTAATAAAGTGAATGCAAGATCTTTCCATGACAGCACTTACTCCCTGGAATTCTAAAGTACATATGTGCCATAATTAAATACTTCTCCTCCTGATGGATGCATAAGTTCTTTCCCATTGGCTATGATGATTAATAGAACTGAAATCAAGATCTTTTACATGAATTCTTGGGAAAATGTATATGCTTTCTAATAAGAAAGACATAACATAGAAGTTAGGTTAATGTGCAAAGGGTATAAACATTTTAAATTTTTATAAACATTGCCGAAATTGTATTCCCATATATTGTCTCACAAATTACTGTAAGTGAATATCCTTCACTGTCATAAACATATAATTTTACCAATATTTTAAATTTTGGTCAAAATTATGAGTGAAAAAATATTGTGTCAATGTTATTTTAATTTGGTCTCTCATTTTCTCTTTAGGTTAAGCAGAAAAGTAACTTACTCCCTCACCCATATAATGCCAGATTTCTGCAGTGATGTCCTGAGGGAAGGGCCTCCCCTGTGCAGGATTTAGA